CCAGTAAATATATGAATTTTTGACTTTAAAAAATGGAACCAGGCATGATTTTGTAGGAAATTTAATGCCCTTCAAGAATCCGCCATCAAAAAATTTTTATCTCAAGCGGTTCAAAAGTTATATCATTTTTAATGAAAAAAGATTTTTTTACGTGTTATTTAAATGGGAAACTTTGAATGCTCACCGACACCTTTCAAAATTGAGCTAAAAATCCTACCTTGGAGGAAAATTTTTTTTTCGATATATAGATTCATTTTAACCCATAAATTCGATAGGTTAGTTTTTTTGGCTCACCCTACTATAACTAGTAAATTAAAAATTTTCATTGTGAACACCCACCCCCGCAATCCGTATTGGGAGTAGGTTATCATATAACATAAGTTTTTCTCAATCAATTCCAAAAATGACCTCCACGGTCAACCGATTTGAATATTTTTTTTTCTCAAATTTGTCTTCCAGGAGTGGTTCGACTACTGCATCTATTTGTTGATGAATTATGCGCTCAAATATCTTACCCGCCGTATCTAGCATGCAAAGTGGTCGGTAAGATGACGGTTTTTCTGGTGGCTTCTTTCCTTTAGGTACTAATCGTTGCTGTTTCCACTTACGAAGAAAAGTCCCCTCCTTGAGACATGCATTATAAGCGTCTAGGAATAATGTTGGAGCTGCCTTTATGATGGTTTTCAAGGCTAAATTAGGGATTCCGTCCAATCCTGTGTGTGTGTGTGTGTGTGTGTGTGTGTGTGTGTGTGTGTGTGTGTGTGTGTGTGTGTGTAAACCTCTTATAACTTTTGAACGGTTGAACCGATTTGATCGCGGTTGGTGCCATTCGAAAGGGCTTGACCAAACTTAGATTTCCAATACACTTTGGACCGATTCGGACCGGTAGATTTTGAGAAATCGCAAAAAAACTACAAAAAAAAATTTTTTCAAAAGTGGTTTTTTTGGAATAACTTTTGAACGGCTTTACCGATCAATTTCTAAAACTAATCAGCTTTTAACATCAAAAAACCACGTCAATCGCCGCCAGTTCGGTCAAAATCGGTTAAATCGTTCGTGAGTTATCGTTGACGAGAGAAAACCGAAAAAAGCGTTTTTTCGGAATTACTCCGAATTTTTCCACTTTGTCAATATAAACTCAAAGATTTTTTATGAAGCTTAAAAAACTGCGTCGAATGCCACCAACCACGTGAAAATCGGTTCATTCATTCAAAAGTTATTGCGATTTAAAAATTAAAAAAATAGTGTTTTATCAAACTTTTGAGCTCGAAGAGCTCAAAAGCATACAAAATCTATTTTTTTGAGCTCGAAGAGCTCAAAATAATATGCAAATTGTACTTAGCTCGAAGAGCTCTAAAACGTCATAAGTGCAATTTCAAGCGTTTAGGTATAGAATTAGCGGGAAGTTGCAGGGATGGCCTTCAGGGTCAACCGTATTCCTAATTTTTTTTTAATTCTTTGATTCTACGTCAATGTCCGAAGATACACAGCAATTATCCAAAGTTGTTGAAGAAGCTGTCAGTATCGATAAAACGGACTATAACAATTATAATATTAATGCCGTGGTTTCGCACAATGCTCCAGTTATGACAGCAATGGATAAAGCAGTAAAATTAACGGCACGCAGGATGTAGTTGTCATTATGGTAATTTACTTGCCAAGGATCTTGTTGATAAAACGTTTACGGAATCTATAAATATAATCTTACGTATATTTTAAGCTCCGAATTTAGAAAGGGCAGTTATAAAACTTGGAGAAACGAAAATGGAATTGGCTTGCGAAACTCTTTCGTGTAGCTATCGTAATGCATTTAGATGTTGTTTAAAAAATCTAGATATAATGAAAAAAATTGTGAATGATAAATTAAACGAGCAGTCTTTTAATAAAGTTAAAAAGCAAAATACGGAAAAAGACAAATTATTTACCTTAAATAATTTGCTTTCTGACGATTCTTTGACAACAAAGTTACGAGATTATATAGTTGAGTCTGATCCCGTCTGTCCATTAATAAATAAATGTCAATAATCAAAATGTACTCTACCTGATGCTGCTGAGGAATGGATAAAGTTGAATATTCCGACTGAGAATGAAAAAACTCAAGAGATTGTCAAAAAACGAGTCGATAAAGTACTGACGCCTATTTTATTAGTTGCAAATTTATTGCATCCGGTTTACCAAGGTAAACAGTTTTTTCATGTAGAAAAATACCATTTACAAGCTCTTGTCATATCTGAACTACTTGACCGATTAAGTTCATCTTTGAACTTGTCCTTGGTATTTGTCGGTAGAATAAGTATGTTCGAGAAAGATGCGGAATGAATTAGAGACGCTATCGTCATGACAAGCCAGGTTCTATCGTAACATACATACACACATATAAGATTGTAAACCATATGTATTTTCTGAATCCGCTTGACGAGCTGAGAAAACCCAACAAAAAGTACAAAATAACTTTCAATACTTTCATTGGGGTGCTTTTCAAGATATTTTCATAGTGACCCTACTTTTACCGATATCCTATATCCTATAATAAAATTAAGATGAAAAATATGTGTTGCAAGCTATTCGTAACATGATTGGTCAATCCTATAATAAAATTCCTATAATAAAATTAAGATGAAAAATATGTGTTGCAAACTATTCGTAAGATGATTGGTCAAATACATATATCATAAGCATGAAAATATATGCAAACTCTATATTCAGGCGCACGCAAATTTGAATTCTATTTTGTCAATAAAATATTTATTACAATGATATCGAGCACTCGATGCTTTTTCACGATAAAATGAATTTTTTGTGTTCATCATTCTATATTCATTTTAAACTTATTGAAAACTATTTTCTACTTTTTGTTTGGGTTTTCAATTAAGTTTTTCAAACTATTAATTAATAATAATAATAAACATCATTTATTTATAATAAATATTTAGTTTAACATAACTTGAGTATAATACAGCAACCTCTTATCACAAATAAACAAAGAAAAAGGTAAATAAATTGTGAATGATGACATCGCAATACTTGGAAGAAAGAAAAAAGTTTATATCCTATAATTTTAAGATTAAATCTTTATTGTAAACATAAAATTAGGTCCTTCATGTATCACACAATTACGGCATCTCGATTGATGCGTCCATGGGTATGGCATACTCTTAAATCTTCAATCATTTTAATTTCATGATTCAATTAATCGATTTGTAAGGAAAAAAAAATTGTTCTCCATTTTACTGAAAAAATAATGAAAAAATCCTAAAAAATTATAAAGATATGCTGCTTGAGGGTAATTTTTTTTTTTAATTTGAAAAATTTTTACTAAAACAATAGTGTTCAACTACTTTTACGTATGAATATCATTTAGTAAATATAAGCATCAAATTTTGAAGATTTATTTTGTTTTTTTATTAATTTTGTAATGAATTGATTATGTCTCGAATGAGTAATTCAATAGATGATAATCTGTAATAAAATTTTAGTAAAACATATTTTTCTTTAATCGACACATAATTGATATACCGTTTCATTTAATTGGTAATTGTTTGGATGTAGGACTCCATCGTGTTTTAGCCATAAGAAAAAATTTGTAAAATGAACTTTTTTTTTTTTTTTTTTTTTTTGTTGCGGTAGTCATAAGTAAAATTTAGAAAATGCGTTCATTCCTAAATGCATTACTACCAGCTATAGCCCATTAAATTTTGCTGTACTGGAGCTACTTGTAGCGCATTTACAAATTTACACAATATGTTTTATGATTAAATTTCTCAAATTGAAAGTAATAAAAAAGCTACTTAAATTGTTATACACTGAAAATTTAGAGGTGTCGGTTTGTAGAGCACTGAAATTTTTTTTTTTTTAATAAAAAACAAAACACGTAGCTATTTTTTTTTTGCTTTTAAACTACAAAAATAAAGAAGAAAAATAGAATTTCATTATTTTTTCAAGAATGATTCGAGAATTCACATGTAACAAAATGGAAAAAAATGTTTTCAATAACTCTATTTTTAAATTTTTTATGGCCAAAAACCAGTAAAGTCCCACATTACCATTTAATTATAACATGATAACGTACAAAAATTTCATAACTTAATATTTAAGTAAAAATATATTCACTATGATTCTGCAACTTCCATTTTATCTTGATCCTTATCCCCTAAATAATATTCATTAGGAGGTTCAATAATTTTATCTGTATCTTGAATATTGAGCCGTAAATCAGGGTCTGGTTCTGGTTGCCGATCTTCTTCAGGAGGTAAAACATCATATGGTACATCCTGCATTTGAACACTAGGAGAATGTTGAACCATTTTTAAGTTTTCGTACACATGACGTGTTATTGCTTCTAAATATTGTTTGCTATTAGCATTATCTTGTCTAGTCACCACTTCGGGATGCAAAGTAAAATCGGGAGCAAAATACTCTAAATATTCAGTATATGGAAGTTCATTGCTTATTTGTTCATCCAATAATAACGATGTTTCATAAGTCCAACATCGAGCAACATTTCTTAATGTATAACCTCCTCCTCCAACTGTAAGTAAAGGAACATTCAAATCTCTTACGAATTTCACACACTCGCCATGTCCTTTGGTACTTAAGCTAAAGCATCCTAATCTATCATTTGCTAATGAGTCTGCTCCACATTGAAGTACAATAGCAGTCGGTCTAAAAAATTCCATGACATGGGATATAACAGGTTTGAAAACTTGCACATAAGATGTATCATCAATTCCTTCTTTTAATGGAACGTTGACAGAATAATATCTTCCGCTTTCTGCTCCAATTTCATACATATCACCCGTACCAGGAAAAAAGTAATTGCCATATTTATGGAAAGATACAGTCATTACTCTATCAGTCAGATAAAATGCTTCTTGAACTCCATCTCCGTGATGAACATCAATATCTATATATAGAACTCTCGCATGATATTTAAGTAATTCTAATATAGCTATAACAATATCATTAATGTAACAAAAGCCAGAAGCTTCAAATTTTTTAGCATGATGCAAACCACCACTCCAATTTATAGCAATATCACAGCAGTTATTGTTTAATTTTGTAGCTCCTTCTAACGAAGCTCCAGTATACATTGAACAAAAATCAAAAAGACCTTCAAAAACAGGACAATCATCACCAACATTAAAATGACTTAAATATTTGGTATAACCTTGTAAATTTTGAGGTGTCACTCGTTGTAAAAAATCAACATATTCATCAGAATGAAAACGACACATATCATGTGTACTTGCACGATACGGTCGATAAATTTGCATTTTTTTATGAAGTCCATAATTGAGAACGAGACTGTGAATTACTGATAGCCGATGTGGTTTCATTGGATGTCCTGGACCATAATGAAAATTTCCAACATTTGGATTATAAAAATATGAAACTTTTCGATTGTAACTCATTGTAAGCTAACGCATTGAAATTGTAGACAGGTTGAAAAAACTAATATTTTTGACGCAAAAACAAAAAAAAAATAAAATTAATTATCTATTGTTAACTATAAATACATATTTTATATTGTTTTAATAGTACACTTTATTATTAATTTTTAAATTATTACATGTCTAAAGATAACCAATATACGTATATTAAAAAATATAGACGTTGTGAACGCTGTGTGACAGCGGACGCGTAAACAATTGACTTATAGGGTATAGATGGTAGTTTTCCAATTACGAGAGCACAGTGCGACTCATTGCCGCACGGTGCCGCATTAGCACAAGTTTAATTGAAACAGATTAGTTAAGAAATGCAGCAGTAGATCGCGTTGGTATTGCTTCGTTTTGAACAAAAATTCGAAAGTTTGGCAGTTTGGCAATCTAAAAATCTAAATCAACAAACTCGGTAGAGTTTGCATCTTTAAAATCTTTGAAACATTCATGTTAAACAGCTAATTCAAAATCATATCATGACAATGCTTACAAATATAAAAATCTAAAAAATGATTTCATTTTATAAAGATAAAAGAATAGAAAGAATATAAATTCGCTTAAGTTAGTCATCAATAATATTAAATATTAGATATAAAAATATGATACCCTGACGGATCCAAAGTACGGTAGAGTACGGTAATGTACGGCAAATTTACGGTAGGGTACGGTAGAGTACGGTACGTACAGTGATTTACCGTAATACAGTATGACACCGTAAATTACGGAGATTGTACGGCAAAGTACCGTGATAGTACAGTAATTTACCGTTATTGTACGGTAAGATACCGTGATTGTACGGTAAAATACCGTAATTGTTAGTAAAATACTCTAATTATCCGGTAAATAAAGTACTGTTTTTGTACGCTAAGGTACCATAATTGTACGGTAATTTACCGTAATTGTACGGTAATTTACCGTAATTGTACGGTAATTTACCGTAATTGTACGGTAATTTACCGTAATTGTACGGTAATTTACCGTAATTGTACGGTAATTTACCGTAATTGTACGGTAATTTACCGTAATTGTACGGTAATTTACCGTAATTGTACGGTAATTTACCGTAATTGTACGGTAATTTACCGTAATTGTACGGTAATTTACCGTAATTGTACGGTAATTTACCGTAATTGTACGGTAATTTACCGTAATTGTACGGTAATTTACCGTAATTGTACGGTAATTTACCGTAATTGTACGGTAATTTACCGTAATTGTACGGTAATTTACCGTAATTGTACGGTAATTTACCGTAATTGTACGGTAATTTACCGTAATTGTACGGTAATTTACCGTAATTGTACGGTAATTTACCGTAATTGTACGGTAATTTACCGTAATTGTACGGTAACTTATCGCTAAAATAAGGTATATTTGACGGTAGGTTACCATTGGAATACGGTAGTGCGGAAAGTTCAGAAGTATATATTCTACCGTATTTTCACCGTACACTACCGTAGTTGTACCGTAATTTTACCGTTCTATACCGTATTTTCACCGTTCTTTACCGTACGTTACGGTGTTTTACGGTTTCTACCGTGCAAGTAGAATGCTACTGTAATCTATATTTATATGATGTTTTATATAATGGTAATAGTAGTAAATACTCTTTATTACACGTATTAATAAATTACTGCAGTTAATATGCGACCACCGAGATTTATGAATTATGAATAAAAAACTTTAGCTGAATGATTTTTTTTATATTTGAAATCACACTGGACATAAAATTGGGTTTTTTATAAATAAATTTTAATAATAATGGTGCTATCACTAGATTAATTACAAATAATTCAATGGACAAATTTGACCGACCAAATTTATCAAATTAGAAGACTATTAAACACTCTTCCGAAAATTTGACAGTCATTCATTCTTATCAAGACCTTTATGATAATACCAAACTTAACGATAAATATTCTTTTAAAAGAAATAATATGCTTGTCACAAAAATTTCCTTTCTTTCTTAATTGTTTAAGTCATAAATAATTATCGCTATCGCATATATACATTTACAATATATACATTTACATACATAAAACACAGTAGGGGGGAACCAAATAACCAAATGATAGCTTTGCCTGAAAAAATTCATTTATTTATGAATTTTTAATATTGCGCGGGAAAAGTTCAAATTTTAAGTTAAAAATGTACAAGTATTTTATGAATACAAAAAATTTTATATGATAAATTATCATACAATCTTCCATGTGTATGTTTGAAAAATATTTTTTTAATTAATTTTCTTTATTAACCAGTCTAAATACACAACAGACTAAACATTGTTTGAGCTCTACTTTCTTCGAATAAACCAGCTGTTCAGTGTCTTGGGAATTCTCATTGAAAATAGTGTACATTCTATAATCTCATGGTTATTGCCTGTAGATAGCACGGTCGTCAATTGAGCGGGTTTCAAATAATCTTAATCTCTTGATAATACGAAATACAACTATGTGTTTGATACATTGTGTCACATACTAACAACAATATCATAATAACAATAAATAATATTGATAATCATAATAACGATAACAATAATAGTAAGTATAATATTGAAAGTAATAGTATCGGTAATAATAAATTGATGTAAACAATAATAGCAATAATAATACTTATCATTATCATTATTATTACTAAAATAATTGTTATTTTTATTAAATTCATGTGTATTGCAGTATTAAATCTAAATTGAAGAATTTTGTTTATTACAAAAATGTTAAAATTTTCTTTGTAAATGTAAGAAATGTATAATTTTCATCGATAATTTAGTCTACCAATTTAAAACGGAGGCGTTTACGCGAATTAGTAACTTTAAATTTATTTTAATGCTACTAGCTACTATGAGAAAAGAAAACTTTAATTTTTTTATCCAGAATTGAGCTTTAAAATCAAAGAACGAACGACTTTTCATATGGTTTTAGCTTTGCCTGAAAAAATTCATTCATTTATGAATTTTTACTATTGCGCGGGAAAAGTTCAAATTTTAAGTTAAAAGTGTGCAAGTACTTTATGAATACAAAAAATTTTATGGAATAAATCATCATACAACAATCGACGCTCTCTGTATTGGACCTCTCTGTATTTGACCACATTCTTCCTTTATATTTGACGATTTTACACAGCTCTTATGGACAAGGACGAGTCAAATACAGAGGATAGTCCTGTACGGACGAGTCAAGTACAGAGAGCGTTGACTGAACCTTTCATATGTATGTTTGAATTATATTTTTTTAATCAAATTTAATTTATTAACCAGTCTAAATACATAACACTTCCATCTAGGGAATATTATTTTTATTTATTGAAAACTTTACTTACTGTAGTTCTTTCGCCCGGGAGTATTAAAATACTCGGTTTCAGCGCGGGAAAGGAATAATTTTAAATAAAAGAATTCTATTTAGACGTTATTTAATTTTGATCAAAATTATTTAGTTGGTTTTAATTTATTATTCAAGTTGACAAAATATTAAAAGCTTGAAAATATGAAATTGAGGTTTACAATGACGTGATCTTAGCAATCTAAGCTTTCGATGAGAAGTGTCGTTACATAGTTTTTCCGGAGAGTTTCAAACTCCGTTCTTCTCCCACCATAACTCCCATACATATATCCACTCTTGTACATATATAAGTACACATATTTCTACTACATATAAATGATTTTCACACTAATATATAATATTTTCTATTATATTTACATACATTTATTTATAAATTATATATATTGCAGTTGATTAATATTCGTATTTTGCAAATTAGATTAAGCTTATTACTATTTCTATCAATCAATAATTTATTAAAACTATGAAATAGTTTAATTATTAATGTAAGAGATAAATATCATTTAATAATATTATTTTATAAAATCTTATTCTTTTAACATTAATTAATAATTATTTATAGGTTGGATACAGGATATAAATTGTTAATTTAATTTTTATATATTTCGTTGCAATATTATATTAAAGCAAGTTTAACAAAAATATGTTATTTAACGATCTTATTCTTTGTTAGATATTTGTTACATTATTATTTAGCCGTTGAAACAAGGGATCATAGAATTTTCCTCACACGTGTCTTTTATGGCTTTTCCTCAGAATCTCAAGTACCTAAGGTTTCTCAGAACTCAACTACAAAGTCCCTTTGTATTCGACAATAGCTTACATTTATTTGAAACAAAATATACTCTATAAAATAAATATTCAACGATACAGAACCTAAACTTTCTAATTTCAACAGTGTTCACTATTTAAATTATGAATTAATAAAATAATTTAATATAATCTAAATTACATTTAAATTTGCACTTCACTGCTGGTAGCGTCATCTGCTGGATGCATCTAGAGGCATTACAAAATTAAAATATAGGAATATATTTTAGGATGCTTGTAGTAAGCAACGTTTCCATGGTGATTTTTAATATATTGTATGGTCAAATTTACATGTAATCTGTTAGAATGGCGAATGGCTCTCAGGCTCTCATTCTCTCTATACATCTATGTATTTCTCTAGCGGTCGAATGAGAAACCTTTCGGAGCTTAAATAATCTAATCTAATCCTTGTTTCTTGTTACTCATTATTGAAAAGATAAGATGGATGTCAAGTGGAATAAATAAAAACCGTTAGTGTGATTAATAAAAACATCAAATTTAATAATAATAAAAAAGACCTAAATCTATTTTTTTTTTTTTTTTTTTTTTTTTTTTTTTTTTTTTAAGTATTAATAATCTTCAAGGGGCCTTCATTTATTATTATGATATTACAATTATGCATAATAAACCGTTAAGACTGTCTATTTAATTGTTAAATGTTGATATTCCAAGTTGTTTTTCTATCAATACAATTAATTCTATAATTTTTTTGTATGTGGAATATATTCATTATGTTTTTACAGTTAAGTAATTGCTTTATTCCTGATTTTTATGATGTTTCTAAATGATGGGCATCATTTGATTGTTAAGAGTTATTATCAACTAGCTTAATTTGAGCTGCTAGTCTTATATCGAATCGTCCGGAACACAGTATGAAGGAGATGCTTGGCGGGTGCTGTGTATGTTCTGACGAGAGGGGATGGACGGAAAATCCGCTTGTCTATTGTGATGGTCAAGGCTGTACTGTTGCTGTTCACCAAGGTTGGATATATTTTCTATATTCATGCTTGCAATATCTTTATTTAATTTATTGATTTTAAGTTTCTTACTAAGCTCTGAAAAATTTATTGTTATACTATTTATTCAAATTCTTGAATCTCATGTATAATTATTATTTTTATGTGCATATATTATAATCAAACTTAAAATTTTAGGTATTAGAAATTATCTAAAAAACTCAAAGCAACGAAACATATCAATATATATATATATATATATATATATATATTTTGGTGTTTGCTTATCTCTATCTGTATCGTGTCGTGTCGTGGATTTTCGAGGGGTAACAAAACACATGGAAACTGCCGAGGGATCGGAATATGTCACACGTAGTCGACCACCGTTTATGGATCGATTACTCAAACTCTCCAAATGTTCGCCACTTTAGGATCCATTCATAGATGTCTTCTTTTTTGGGACAAAATTAATACCAATTTGTTTTTTTTTTCGAGTCAAATTATAGAAGAAAAATAAAGTGATCAATTTTTTCGTAGTTATAGGTAATAGGTAGTAAATATATATATATATATATATATATATATATATATATATTTTATATTAACTAACCTTTTTATATGAACATTTTTAAAGTCTTCAAGTGATGAATGTAATCGTCAGAATTACAAAATAAATTTATTTTTATTTTTATAAGTTTAATGAATCTTCTGAGTTTGATATTGATATGAAAAATGTTTAATATTATTGTGTATATTTTTGTATTATTAATTGATTAAGGTATTTTTTTTATATACAACTGTTCCAGAATGAACATCAACCTAATAAATTTATTTGGTATTATGATTATGTAAATCTTATTATTGTTTATTAATTTTTTCATCATTTGCAAGCCTCTAATGTAAAACAAGTTACTATAATTTTCAAACAATCAAATCAATTTACTTCCGATTAACATTTAACATTATTTGTATTTTTTACAGCGTGTTATGGAATTGTAACAGTACCAACTGGACCATGGTATTGTCGAAAATGCGAATCTCAAGAGCGTAGTGCACGTGTTGTAAGTTACATTTTATACCAATGTCCAATATTTAATTAAACAATATCAATGGCAATTTTATATTTAATTCCTTATTAATCTGAATTATAAAAATAGCGTTGTGAATTATGTCCAAGTCGAGATGGAGCACTTAAGAGAACAGATCAAGCTGGTTGGGCTCATGTTGTCTGTGCACTTTACATCCCAGAAGTTAGATTTGGTAATGTTACAACAATGGAGCCAATTATTCTTCAACTTATTCCATCAGAAAGGTTTAATAAGGTTATTTAATTACAATCAATTTATAAGCAATCTTTTAAAACACGTTATTTTCATTTAATGATTTTAACAATTATGTTTAGATATGCTACATTTGTGAAGAACAAGCTAGAGGTAGCAGAGCTACAGTCGGAGCATGCATGCAATGCAATAAAACTGGTTGTAAACAACAATTTCATGTCACGTGCGCTCAGGCGTTAGGCTTACTTTGTGAAGAAGCTGGAAATTATCTCGACAATGTCAAGTATTGTGGATATTGTCAACATCATTATTCAAAATTGGTATAAATTATTTATTTTATGTAATGATTTTAATGATTAAGTCATAATTTGATATTTTTTTTAGAAAAAGGGTGGAAACGTTAAAACTATTCCTCCTTATAAACCAATTCCAGCAGATAACGGGTCTTCTGATTCTTCTCCAGAAAAAGAAATAGATTTACCTTCAAAAACCTCTACAACAGTAAAACGTAAAAGCTCCAACCTTAAGTCATCGACAACATTAAATTTAAAAAATAAGTTAAATACTAGTCCAAGTTTAGATGTTGATGGAGTTATAGATGAAAAAAATGGCAGTGATCGCAATATTCCAAAAGATGCTACGTCGTCATCAACTCCAGGTTCTAGTAAATTTACGACTTCGAATTTTGTAGAAACAGTTGTTACTCAATCAGAGAGTGTATTTGGTCACGAAAACAGTAGCAGTAGTACCATTTCTTCTGATTTAGTTTCTACAGGTGGTGTTAAACCTGGAACAAATATTAATTTCACACATAAAAATAATAATCATCCTAAATCAAGTTCATCAATCAACAAATTAAATTATTCAAGTAAAAAGCGTAAAACTGGTACGCATACACCAACGGCTATAGGTAGTGAAAATTCTAATAATTCTGTTAGTTCTGAGGCTAGTGGATCAGTTGTTACAGTCAGCTCTATTATTCAGTCAATAGCAAGTAATTCAGTCCAACCGACAGTTACTGAAGCAACAAGTCTTAGTACTGTATCTGAATTAGAAAAATTGAAAGTACGTATTATTGTTTTGTCCGTTTAAAAATTTTAATTATTGCTACTTAATATTTGAAATATTTCTACAGCTAACATCTGATAATTCCTTAAATTCAAACACATCAAATATTTCTACAACAAATGTATCAACCACGACACCAGTGATAATATCGTCGCCATCGACTCAAACACATACTACTACTACTGCAACTAGCATCGTCGTATCAGTGCCACTTACTGCTACTTCTCTTCCAAATTTTGCACAGACCGTGGTAACCAGCGCTCCTACTCTTTATCAACAACTTCAACAGAGTATGTCTACAATTGCAGTTACAAATAATGATCAGTCGGACTCTGTTACTTACCCAGATCACGATCCACCAGAAGATTCACCAGCTAAAAAATTACGGTAGAATCGAATTTCATTTATACTATACAATTACGATATGAAACTTGATATGTAAGGCGCAATAATTTATAATTATAAAAATGTTTTCACTCGATTTTTGAAACATCGTAACTTCGTATAAAACAATCGTAGAGAAAAAGATAAAAAACGAAAATAAAGCTTCGATTTTTAGTTTTTGGGTCTTTAGTTCGAAATTTGTTTCTATTAGCAGTTGTTAAATAAAAATAAAAAACTATCAAACGATAGTTTTTTAAATTATTTATTGTCTGGAAAATGTTGATCGAAAAAGAGATAAAAAAATCAAATGTGTAAGAACACTTATTTAGCTTTGATATAACTAGAAATAATGGTAATACTAAAAATGTTGCTTATAATTTTTTAATTTGAAAGTATCTCAGAGAAAACCTGAAAATGTTTCACTCATTTTAATAAAAATGGCCTTAATCAGTATTTTCTTCGAAAAAAGTTCATTATTGGAAGAAACGAAAAAAATTTTTTTTTCACATGACAATTTTTTATTTTCTGTTGTTTTTCAAAAGAGCTGAAACTTTTTCAAGAAGATAGTATGATTTGTTGCTATGAAAAACTTTTGTAACTAAAAATTGAATTAATAGTGAAAAATTTATCCTAAATTTCATTTCAACAAAAACGACAAGTTTAACCATTGTTGACCCGGAAAAAACAATATCGCAGTGTTTTATAATTTTCACGTTTTTTCTAGAATCTTATAAAGGTAAAATATTATAATCAGTTCCATTGTTTGTCGATTCTTGGCAAAGTTATGCAAATATATCTGAATAATCCGTCTTTAACTTCTCTTTTTGATGAACATTTTGGTTTTAAAAAAAATTTATTTTATCAAAAATTTTTTGTTTTAAATGATAACCATTCAGTGATAAATAATTGTACTATTGTTTCAACACTACAGTTATTATGAGAAAGACTGGCATTTCTTACCCAAAAAGTCTCAATTAATTCGCTTTTCGAGAATATATGGGTCTTATTAACGTGCGGCGTGGATATAATACATGATTTTTGAATATAATAAGTCATTCTTGAAAATCATTCATAAATTTGGCATTTATTCATATCTCTTGATGTCAACACGGTGTATGTTATTTTTTAACTGAAATTTATTTAGTCATAGTTTTACTTTTATACTTTTTATACGCTTTTCATTAGCTTCATCTGTATGTATGTATGTTTGTTTGTTTGTAACCGACTCCTTTGGGCACGATTTTGACCCACTTTAAACGGCCAGATTTCGTTCAAACTTTGAAGATTTATCGAGGACCAACGACAATACACTAATTTGATAAAATTATTCCATTTTTCACTTTGCATAATAAGATATTTGTTAATTTATATAATTTTCATCTATAGTCGATAAGGCAGGAATTTATGTAAATTTTAAATTCCAACCATTATCTTTAACCGATTTATCTAATATTAGGAACCTTGTTAGCACAAATGAAACAAAGTTCGCGTAAACCTACGGCCGGAATTTTACGTAAAGTTTACGCTACAGTAGAGCATCAGCTCTACTTATAACTGTTGTCGTGAAGTTAACGTTAACTTTCTGCAACTTCGCGTTAACTTTGAGCGAACCTTTTGGAAAATTCCGGCAGTAGATTTACTCTTACTTGATGCGTAAGTTAAAGTCAAGTTCCGGGAAACTGTTGCAAATGCAGAGGTTGACGCGAAGTTAATGTAAAATTGACATAAAACATTGAACATCAACTTTGTAAATGGTCAACCCGTGCCAACTGGGAAATTTTCGAATACCAAAGGGAATTTTTAATTTAACAAAACAAATAATAGTTTTAAAAAACTAAAAAACACACTTTCATAAATAAACCAAACTAAAAAGTAAAAAATAATAATAATGGAGGTTTTACTTGTATCACTTGGGCAGTGTTTTACAAGGGAGGGTGGGGTATTATTTCTCACTTCCCTTTGTTACACAACACACTTTCTTTCCAGCTCTACTTTGTATTTACTTCCATCATTATTATCACTTCATTATACTCACTACTTCTTTTGACCCCACCCCTCTGCATGTCGGGATTTTTTTCATTCCCTACACACACTTCTTAATGCGGCTGTGGACCGACTTGTGCCTTCTGTACCGTATTCACTCTGGTCCCTTACCACTCGGGTATTGGAACAGAAACATGGGGAAACCACAGAGAAAACCCATGTTAGTACAGTCGGAGCTGGGTTAAGTCTACAGTGATTGATAAGAAATTCTTCTTTATCGACCACTGGAGCATTAGGCCCCTCTCCTGGTGTGCAGAGATCCCTCGCGCTAGCCAACGCTGACTAGAGTGATCGCTCATTCAAGTTGTTGCTTAAATGGGTGATCGCCCAAGTCAGACGTGTGCCGCCCGGCTATCTCTACCCCCTCCAGAGGCTGGCAACATAACGCACATATTTTTATTTATATATAATGTTTATAATGACTGAAAAATATTGGTGCGTGCCGGGATCGAACCCGGGTCCCACTCTTTCGAAAAGCGGGCACCGAGCCGACCAGGCTATTGCCAGCCTCTAAGTAAAAAAATAAATAATAGTTTAAAAAAACTAAATAACACGCTTTTTATAGAAAACCAAACTAAAAAATAGAAAATGAATCTGATTTAAGAATAGTGTAAAAAATTTTAATAAATATAAATTAATAAAAGTGTACATAAAAACAAGAATGTATTTTATTTAAAAAAAAAGCGTGGGGTGCTTTTTAAGATATTATCGAAATGATAATCCGTCTACTCATCTGTCAATAAAATATTTATAACTATTGACACCATGCACCTCACGCTTTTTTTACAACCAAATACATTTTTTTCTTATTTACTCTATAATTAATTTATATTTATTAAAATTTTTTACACTATTCTTGAATCAGATTTATTTTCTATTTTTTAGTTTGGTTTTCTATAAAAAGCGTTTTTTTTTTAGTTTTTTAAAACTATTATTTTTTGGGTTCTTAAAAGACTGTATCCATTCTTATTTGGTGAATTCATAACATTTCGTTCTCTACTTTTTATTCATTTACTTTATTTACCTCAGTCGCGGCTGCGGCTGACATATTTTTTAACTATCCATACTCGCATTTGCTTATGCCCCAATGTACCACAGTTTTCTTTATTCAAAAAATCACGAAAAACTTAGTTAGTTTAGTTAGAAAACTGGCTTAGAGAACTCCTTATACTCCATAGCACTCCATAGCACTGGCTCGAATGATATTGATAATAAATTAGTAATATAAATAATGAATTAATGTAGTATTGAAAAATAATTTTTTCATCACAAGAAAAAATTTTATATTTAAAACTCTCTGTTAAAGAAATTTGAATTAAGAAAAAAATTAAAGCTATTATTTTCGATAGATTTCGGAAAATCGAAATCCCACTGAATGTTGACGCTTGTATTTATAAAGGTGTGTGTCTGCATTTGTGAATGCTAGCTTTAGATGTGTAGTCGAAATGAAATCTATATTTAAAAAAAGAAAAATATTAACGCGATTCGAGGATTTTCAAGTTTGTTATTATCATAAACTAGCTGTTTTCTTGATTTTCGATTTTTTTTTTTTTAATAATTTTGCTAGTTCTGAAAAACAAAAATTTAGATATTTTATTCAACATTTATTATCAACAACAAAAATATCATTTTTTCACTGTTGTGTTTTTACCCAATTTCGTATGTTTTATAGTGGAAGTTTCATCGCTGTGCTAAATCGTATACAATGTTGCCAAATTCTCAATAAATGGTTCATACTTACATTAACCGAGAAAAAAAAGAAGTATCAGGATTATTTATTATTTATTTTATTATGGAGGTCCTTTCGCCGCCAATGTAAAATAAAAAATATTAGATTATGAGTAAATTCAATTTTTTTCTAATAGTTAAGGTCCTTATTTATCTAATAGTGAGGTTTAAATTATACTTTACCGGACAAATTTTTGAAAAAATAAAATTTTTAAATGTTAGTATTTGTTCAGAGTCTTACGAGAAAGTCAAACATTTGCAGTATTTCTCGAATTATATACTATCAGTTATGGATTAGATGAAGTAAAAAAAA